TCCAACTTATAATTCACTTGTGTCATAAATCGCAAATGGCTTTAAACTATGATAAATGTGAATCGCTCTCTTTTTCCCGCAGTTAACATGTTCTATCCTCCTCTTACCACCTTTCTAGCATCCCAGTAACTGCTTGTTCATCGTATAAATATCTAGGAATTCATCTGACATCTGACCTGTCACCACTCACATAACATCTGTCATCGCCGATGCTAACCGCACTCTCAGATTTTGTCGCCGTAACCTCAGACAAGCTACATCCACAGTAAAACAACTACACTGTAAAACATCTTTCGTAGAAAAAACGAGAAAATGCTTGGCAGCTCTATTAAGAGGGGATGCCCATTAAAATAACGCACCCCCATATTCAGAAAATAGGTGAAAAGGGACGTTAATGCAACGATGCCCATTTTTTCAAAATACGAGGATGCTCGTTAAACTTATGTGTACACATCATTTTAATGAGCATCCTTACTCTGAAAAAATGGGTATTATAACATTAATCTAACGTGCCCCCATATTCTGAAAAAATGTGAAAAAAGTCGTTAATATGACAATACTCATTCTTCCGAAGTATAAGGATGCCCATTAAAATTATGCATGCACATAATTTTAACAAGCAACTTTGCACTTTGGTAAAATGGGTACCGTTGCATTGACGACATCTTTTTTCACATATTTTCACAATATGGGGGCACATTAGCATTTTAATGGGCAACCCCTCTTAATAGAGCTGCCAAGCATTTCATCATTTCTTTTTTACAAAATATTTGCTTCTACATCTCTTTTTAACTGAGGCACTGAAGTAGCTCATGTTCTGCTGTCCAAGATTTTTCACTTACACAAGTTTCTGTGCAACGATATTCTGAAATATAACTTCAGGGTCATTGATGCACCTGAAAATGTGAGCCATATACTATGGGGATTGCAATGCAATGCAATAGTGAATTCATGCACTTTGAAGCAGCTCTGCTGCTTTGTCTAAAATGAAGAGAAAATAATTGGCACAGAAACTTTAACTTCAAAATAGGTGAGATAGGCTGCAGCAAAACAGCAGCTAGCTACAGTGTTTCTCATGTGATGCACCTGCAGACACAGCTGTCAGCTGCTAAAATCTGTTGCAAGCCAAGAATAATAGGTAAGTGGAGAGAAGGAAACCACCATTGCACCATGATTGGTTGTTTTCTCCTCCCCACTCCCATGCTCTCCAGCCTCCGCTCTGCTGATGTTGAAAGAGTGGCGGGCTCTGTGGGAGGGGCTTGCTCTTGCTGTTCTAGAGTTGCAACAGACCAGAGCGACCTGGAGGTTTTCGAAAGTGCAGCTCAAGCTGGCCGGATCATATTAAAGCATCATATCGGCAGCAAATTCTCACAACATAAACACCCTTGAGAAAGGGCTCAGAATCGAGACAGCAGTGAAAATGCAAAATAGTTTGGTCGGTCGTTTGTAAATTATTTTTCTTTAGCTCTTTGTAGCTGTTTTCTTCGAGCTTATTTTAAAGAACAAAAAACGAGGGAAATTGTAATAGCTCTTTATTATATCTAAAATTCGTTTATGGGTACTTCTTCCGAGGTGTAGGGCTATCTCAATGCCCCCTGCATATGCAAAAGAAAGATGTATATAGTCATAAGCTAAGCACAAGGCTGTCGAAACAATACAAAACAAGGTGAACCTGACATGCACACAATACAAATAATCCTGCTCGATCTGCAAAGAGAGACCAGCTCACTTTGATGAAAACAACTGGTCTGGACCGTAAGGGAAGGCCAGCACATCTCGGCAACAGAGTTTTCCTCCGAGGAGACCTGTGCTTATCACAGAAAATGTAGTTTAAGTTGAAAACCAATTGACATTGCAGGAGAGAGGCATGAAATATCTGATACAGCAAGTAATGTCCGTGACAAATAGGACACAGACCACAGCTCACTTCCAGTAAAACACCGTGCCTTGGGCCTCAGGAAATTAACGAAACGAAAACTTGTCTACGCTCCATCTTGCGCTTTACGTGCAAAAAACCTGCAATAGCCGGGGAATATTCAGATTTAGTTGAAAACCAATTGACATTTCAGAAGAGAAGAAAAATCTAGTGCAGCGAATAATGTCTGTGATGAATAAGGAACAGACACTTGGAGAAGACCATAGTTTACCTTCAATAAAAACAATGTGCCCGGACCGGTTAAAAAAAAGAATGGCTTGTCAGGACCCCAGCCTACGCTTTCATCTGAGGAAGCCTGCGCTTATCAGGGAAAATGCAGTTTTAGTTGATAACTAACTGATATTACAGAACAGAGGCATAAAAAAAAACTAATGTGGCTAATAATGTCTGTGACGAACAAAACAAAGACCACTTTTAAAGAGACCATAGCTCACCTCCAGTAAAACACTGCCTTGGTCAGTTGAAAAGAGAAGACTTGTCAACGCCCCATCTTGTGCTTCTCTCCGAGGAAACCTGCGCTTGTCTGAGAAAATGCAGTTTTCGTTGATCCCGACACCTCAAGGCCAGGTATTGTGTTCTAGGATCTTTTAGAAATCATCCACAAATTACAGCAAGTCACATATGCTACAGGTGAAAATGAGACTATCTTAAAACTACTAGGGCCACATATGAAACCTGCCCACTGAACCACTCTAAAAAATATGGCATATAAAAAGTAATCAGGTTGATGATACGTATAAACTATGGAAAACAAAGAAAGTCTTCCAATTTTAAACATTCTACACCGAGAACCAAAGGGAATCTAACCCATTTTCGCGAGAAGCGGCACTGTAATTTGTGACGTATCGTAAAATACCGGGCAAGCGCCCACTCAATATTTAGACATAATCGCAAAAAAATGGGAGATAGGCGCTTTTCTGGTTATTAATTTTACATTTCAACGTACTGCGCAGACTTTCTCAGATATTACAAATTTTGGAATGAGCACTTAGTGGAGAGTGGGCGGATGCACGGTATTCTACGGTATGTTCAGCTAGGTGGTGGATTTCTTTTATAAAAATTTCGAAGGAGAAACTTGTCCCGGTCAAATTTACAAATAAATACAATATGTTTCCTATGGACAGACATGGAATTAAGGCTATCTCAAGTGGAAGTTTAAAAACGCGGTTGAGGGGCACTAAACCATATACGAGACAAACCGGGTGATGAGAGCGAAGTGATAAGTGTCTTCGTTCCTACCTTCAATGTTTGAGCTAATTCGAACGTCCCATTGGCCCACAACATTTTCAAGCTCCAATCTGAATAAGCTCAAAACCACGTTGGTCCATAACAAATATATTGTTTTTATTTGTAACTCTTTGCTGAGGTAAGTGTTTTCTTTGGTACTATTTTAACAAAACAAATCCACAACCTAGCTGAACCTACGTCACAAACCACACTACCGTAGCAAGCGAGACTGATTTTTGGGGGGTGGTCAAGTCGGCTAGCGCACACCAGATCGGAGCATGTGGAGCGAGAGCTCGCACTGCAGAACTTAGGGATCCTGGGTTAAATCCCCACACATGCTCTTTTGAACTGGATGAGCATCGTACCGGCATGCGGTCGTGTCTCACTACTGCGCGTGCTTGTTAAAGACCGCAGGCTAGCGGTCCTACTGCACTGGCTAAATCGCTCATCTACAGAGAGTTATTCGTCACAACTTTGAAATGGCTGACTAACTACACGCTGTATAACCCCAATTATTTTTACTGATTTTTGCGATGTATATAAAGTTGTAGGTTAGATTCCTTTGGCCCTCGCTGTAACAATTAAAACATAGATTAACAAATATTTTTGTAAATTTACAAGGACCTCAAGATTCTAATAGTAGGCGGCGGTATGCGAGCCTTCATTGTACCTAATCTAAATAATATATATAAAATCAAGTTATCTAATCTGTCTATCATTTTAATTCCATCTAGTACTATAAATAAAACACTGTCTCTTTAATTTATGCTGCAGGGCTGCCGCATATGTCCTTGCTTTTTCTTTTATATTGTGTACCATCTGTAAGAACTGAAGGCAGTACAGGAACTTTTAGAAACATTTTCGCCTTGAGTCTCGTATCCCCATCAGTCAAATTAGAAAAAGAAAATCGAATTAAAGGAATTCTTTTCGAGCGCAGCTCTTGGGCGCCCGTTACCGGCTTCAGCGGCGTCGGCGTCGCCATAACTGCGCGGTGCATTATAGGACCTTTCCCATGATGCAATACGCGGGGAGGAGGACGAGGGGAGGAGGAGGGGAAGAGGAGAAAAAAAGAGAAGGGAAGAGGGATGAGGAGCAGGAGAGGAGGGATAGGGAGGAGGAGGAGAGGAGGAAGGGTATGCCCTCCCCTCTTCCTCCTCAAGACCTACGCTCTAATTCGGCGTTACGGGGTGTTGCAAACGTCTTTTTCTTTTTTTTTTGATCCGATAAAACAAATACCACCACCGCAGACCGCTCAAGTGCAAAACTTCTTTTTTGCCTATAAAACACATGGTTTGGAGTGTTGCCCAATTTAAAAGAGCAGCACGCTGGCATTTGGCCCTTTGATGTTTGAGCACACTCCTCTGTGGAAGTAGTCAAGTGGTGTATACGTACCTTCAGACTATGGTGATGGCAATTACGGTGCAGGCCTCGCTTGCGACCACCACTGGACAGAGGGACGCAGAGCCAGGCAGAGCCCTGCTGTAGGTTTGGGTAAAAAAAGAGAAACACTAGACGCCTGCAGTAATTACCACAAAGGAGAGAGTATGTGAATTAGCCATCCGCATGTTATGGTTGCTATTGATTTGGCTTCAAATTGCGCTGCTCTAGCATGATTCACAAGAAAGTTACAACTCTGCAGAGAGTGAAATACCACCACCGCAGGCCGCCCAAGTGCAAAACTTTTTTTTTTGCCAATGAAACACATGGTTTGGAGTGCTGCCCAATTTAAAAGAGCAGCACGCTGGCATTTGGCCCTTTGATGTTTGAGCACACTCCTCTGTGGAAGTAGTCAAGTGGTGCATACGTACCTTCAGACTATGGTGATGGCAATTCCGTTGCAGGCCTCGCTTGCGACCACCACTGGACAGAGGGACGCAGAGCCAGGCAGAGCCCTGCTGTAGGTCTGGGTAAAAAAAGAGAAACATTAGACGCCTGCAGTAATTACCACAGAGGAGAGAGTATGTGAATTAGCCATCCGCATGTTATGGTTGCTTGGCTTCAAATTGCGCTGCTCTAGCATGATTCACAAGAAAGTTAAAACTCCGCAGAGAGTGAAATACCACCACCGCAGACCGCTCAAGTGCAAAACTTCTTTTTTGCCTATAAAACACATGGTTTGGAGTGCTGCCCAATTTAAAAGAGCAGCACGCTGGCATTTGGCCCTTTGATGTTTGAGCACACTCCTCTGTGGAAGCAGTCAAGTGGTGCATACGTACCTTCAGACTATGGTGATGGCAATAACGGTGCAGGCCTCGCTTGCGACCACCACCGGACAGAGGGACATAAAGAGCCCTTCTGTAGGTCTGGGGAAACAGAAAAATTAGGCGCGCGAAATAATTTCCAGGGAGGACGGTGCGAAAGCCCTTTTTGTTAAATTACCATCAGCATGGTATGCTGATTTTAATGACTGAGCTCCAACTGTCGGTTCCCGAACATGATTGACAGGGAAGTTATGGCTCCGAAGACAGTGAGCACTGACGGCAGGGTTCGTTTAACTTTCTAGCGTAAGCAACAAGTGCTTTAAAGTACTGTATTTTCCGGTCTAAAGACCCTAGGTGCCAATTTTGCCTAAAAAATAAGTTTTTGTTTGGATAGTTGGCACTCAATGCATAGTCCGCAGGGCAAAACGTAGGCTGAAAAGCTAACATCCATAGTCTGTCAGTCCGCACCTCTCGCACAAAAGATATTTGCGGACGAAAGTCTGGATTTCCTTGTGCACCTCTCCTGGGTGAACCGCAGAGCTCTCAGCTTGACCCACATTGACCGCTTGCAGGCATCCAAGCGAGCAGTGTGTCACACGCGAGGCATAGAAAGCCTGAGCAACAGATTGAAAGTTGACGTTCACTTCTTAATCCCGGCATAAAACATTCTAAAATCAGCAAGCCAATCAGATCAGTCTGGTGCTAACGATGTTTTTTTGAAACAAAAATTATTGCATAGTATAACCCGTATCTGTAGATAGTCTGCACAACATAAAAAAAAAACAACTTTTATACATGCATAGTCTGCGGACTATAGACCAGAAAATACGCACTGTCTGATTCCGGAGAGGTGCACACTTCCGTTTTGCCTTTTGATGTTTGGCCTAATTATACCAACACACTCATTGATAGAGTTAGTCAAGTGGTGTACACATAATTTGAGATGTTGCTGATGTCAGTTATACTACATGACTCACTTTCCGCCACAACATAACACAGGGTCACATAGCCACACAAAACAGTGATATATGTTTGGGGAAAAAAAAGTTACGAAAAACTAATTAATATTATGTACACGCTTGAATTTGCATGAACCAGGTAACGGAAACCTTTTTGAATTTACCGTCTGCATAAATGTACTCGGTGCAACCGTAAAGGCCGACACGTTTGGCACGCTGGCAAAATTTGCAGCTGGCGATGAACGATATAATTGCGATGAAGATTTTTACAAATTAAATGACTAATTACCCAGATTAACAAATATTTTAAAAAGAAAGATCTACATTACACACAAAAAAAAGGTTGCACCTGTTTTTTTTCGTCTTGCTTATTCGTTTGAGCGTCCCCAGAACGAAATGGGAAAAACAACCGTTCGTCCGCTTTATAGCCCCTTCCCCTTGCGAACCGAGAGCGCTCGCAGAATCGCAACTTCGAGCGCCCAGCCTCCGCGAGCGAGCTCAGCGGCACATGTTGCAGCAAACGAGTTTGCTCTGTCCTCTGGCAGCCGCTGCCACTGCCGAGCTCTCCGGCGATGCTTCACGGGCTGCACGGAAACCATCTCGGGCAATGACGTCGCGTCGTGATCCGACATACGGTACATAACTTACGGTTCTGCTGCCTTAGCTAATAAACGAATTGTTACCCTCCCCACGGAATAATGACGAAACTCGTACCCTCCCAAGTACCTATTAGTGGATTCCGATTTCAACTTCGATTATTAGGCGAGAGCGTCGGCACCAAACTTGGGTGGCACGGTGGGCACCGTGAGCACGTTAGTATGGCTCGTGTAACATAAATGCACCCACCTGATAACATGACATCAACAGTACTGCTAGCGAAATGGATACGATCGCTGTCGCGGCTGTGACGAACATGGCAGCATAAACATCGAAACCGAAATGTCGCGAGTGAATATACATACGTCAACCGCGCGAGCCTATGCGGAACCCCTACGCAGCGAATTTCTTCCAACCGCTCTACGCGCTCCACCTCCTTGGGCACATCAGTTCGTCTCCCGATCTACAAGCGCAACACACAGAGAGATCGCTCGCGATTTACAAGGGGCACAGGAATTCACTCGGCGAGCTATCCAGATTTGCAAGAAGGCACTAACATTGTATCGAGAAATGCACAATTTTTCAAATGCCTCGATCAAATCATTATTTAACGCGATTATTTTCCTGGGAACCAGCCTCTTGTAAGATAGAGGAGGCTTCTTTTTTGCATTCAGTACTACGTTACCGGAGCCGACGGCAACGAAAATATGCACGGTAGCCGTTCATGTTCTGTTTTTAAGATTTCACGGCTTCAGAGTTGTCGAATAAGAGAAAAAACATAATACTCTTGGCTCAAAAATGTTTGTATGACCAGTTTCAGGTAAGCACGTTTGAAATTTGAACCTTTAAAGACACGCCAAATGTATTGGATTTTAAATACAAGAGATATTCAAAAGGACGCACTCACACTCGGTCCTCATGCAGCACCGCAGACACTACCGACGGCAATGCAGAGCGGGGATCAGTAGCACTTTGTAGCGTATACAACATGTTCTTTGGAGTACAGATTTCAAAAAGCTCCATCCTTCTTTTTATGCCTTTCGATGTTTCTTTGAAGCAATAAAGTAGTGTTCACATACCTTTGGACGTCGCTCCGCCAGGAACGAACGGAGGGAACGGCGCGATACAGCCAAACAGGCCACGCCAAAAACCACGAGGCTTCGATTGCTGTGCGAAAGGGTAAAGTGCTATCGGAAACAATATGAGCGTGAACGCGCTTTCGCAGTGACAAGCGGAGGCGCGTTCACGCTCATATTGTCTCCGATATTACATAGAAAGTTTGCTGGAGTGGTGCATACCTTTGGACGTCGCTTCCCGCAAGGAACGAATGGAGGGAACGGCTTATAAGGCAACGGCAAAAACCACGAGGTTGTGACAGCCGCGAGAACGTAAAGAGAAAGTTCGTTAGTACGTCCTACACGCGGCGGTACATGAACAAACTCGACGATGCGCCGGAAAGGGAGACGGGGGCCTCCGGACGTCGGAGAGGTGGTGTTGGCGTCGAGCGTGTCGAGCACGGGTCGTGTTCGCCCTTCTCTGCGCATGCTCGGCGTCCTGGCGCCTGGCATGCTCCGCTGGCTCGGCTCGCCGCGCGCGCTTTTCGCTCCGCGCACTCCGAGAAACGATCACAACTCGTCTTTTAAAAATACGAGGGCGCTTCGTATTTTTTGATTGTGAAAATGCACGTATATTTTACGTACATTTTTTACAGTGTAGCTGATACTACCTTGGTCAGAACTAAGCTAGAATTCGCTTCTTTCATATGGCCACCGTGGCACGCATACCTAACTAACAACCTGAAATCCGTTCAAAGCAGAGCCCTTCGGTTTATTTATTCCGACTATTCCCCTGACGCAAGCATATTAGGATTTTGCCAATCAGCTAACCTTCACACTCTTTCTCACCGCCGCAGGGTGTCTTGTCTTTCTTCTCTTCATCCGATCTTTTATTACACCAGTCATCTCAGACAAAGTTTGCTATCGCCTCCTTATCGTATTTTGCCTCGTCTTGACCACTCGTTTAAACTCCGTCTGATTTCATCGTCAACCGTCACTCACCAAATGTCTACTTTACCATTGGCCACTGACGACTGGAACTCACTGCCTGACGTAATTGTTTCCTTACCTGACAATAAGAAATTTTTTGCAGCCATTAGCTTATTGTTTCTAACCTATAACTAGATTGCAGCGTGTTTTTGTTCCTCGTAGGGGGCACCTGTGAAAGCAGGTGTTTGGTGAGTGGCGTCACCATGAACCCCGAACCATGCGAGTTCGCCCGCCCACGTCTGGCTGTGCGTGGCTTTCCCGTGTCGGGGGAAAAGGGCATTCTGGTGTTTGAGTCGAACCCGCGGTAGGTTTGGACTTTTCGGGACCCCCGGGGGAGGCAATACACCACTTCGGCCCCCGCTTCTCGTAGGCGGGAGTCCTGGTAGGCCCGTCCAGGACGATTCAGTCTAGTCGCCTTTTCTCCTACTATCCCCTCCGATTTTTCACTTTTTCCTTTCCTGTTCCTTTAACTTCTTTCTCCTTTCTCTTAGTCCCTTTTCACCCCTTTTTGGCGGCAAGGGCTAACCTTGGGTGCCGATGGGCCTCTGTCTTGACCCACACTTGGGTATAGTTTCCCGGCATTACTGATCGCGTAACGTCTCCAGTCAAGCCCTTCTTGTTATGGTGCGTTACCTAACCCCTTGCTGGGCTCGGTGGTGGGCGGTGCACCGCGGATTCTGAACACTCTTTGCCCTCTTATGGCGCCCCACCCCTCCAAACCCCGTTCAGGGCACGCCCATAAAAGGCGCTTCCCTGAACAAAAAAACATCGAAAAAGAAAGTGAAGAGACAATTACGAAGTTTTTCATCGTTCATTCGGTGGATAAACAAAAACCTGTTTCAAAGCTCTCACTTTTTGTTGTAGCAAAGGTGCTAGAAAACCTTGTAGGGTTTTCCTACAAGGCTAAAAAACAGCACACTGGAGACCTTCTCGTGGAAGTGAACACAAAAAAGCAAAGTGCCGCGCTCCTTAAGCTGACTACCATCGTTGACGTGAAGGTGTCGGTAAGCCCTCATCGCACACTAAATACTCTCCGTGGAGTCCTCTCCGAGGACGACTTTCTGCACACGAGTGAGGAAGAACCCTTCGAGGGACTCAGAAGTTCTGGTGTCGCTGTCAAACGTAACATGTTTCGGAGGGATGGCGAAGCAATCCCTTCGAGACATGTTATCCTGACTTTTGAAAGGCACACTCTCTCTGAGGCACTCAAGGCAGGATACTTGAACTGCCGCATCCACCCTTACTTTCCCAACCCCCAGCGGTGCTTCCGTTGCCAGCGTTTTGTCATGGAACACGCAGCTGTCGAGGGTAGGATACGTGTGCGAAGTGTGGTAGTCAAGGTCACGTTTCCGATACTTGCGAGGCGGCTGTGGCCCACTGCGCTAATTGCAGTGGACCACATCCTGCTTATTATCGTGCATGTCCCACTTGGAAGATAAAAAATGACATCCTTACCATCAACGTAAAGGCAAACATACCGTACCCAGAAGCCAAGAAGCGGTTCTCCTTTTTGTCAAAGGGGAGTTCTGCCGAGGTGGTGCGCAGGGGCCCTGCACCACGCTCGAAGTCGAGGGTCACCCAGGTCTCGCCCGAGATCTTGGCGGCCGACTTCAGGGCCCCGGCTCCCCGACAGGGGAAGCAGCCGCTTCTTCCAGTCCCTGGTGGTAGCACGCGTGCTGCTCCTCCTTCGAAGAACAGGCCGGCAGCAGCCGCGCCTGCCCCTTCTCCTAGGTTCTCCCCTGGGGAGACGGAGCGAGCTTCTCGCTCTTGCTCACTGGAAAGGGCCCCCCTACCGAAGGAGTAGCATGGTGCCCATCCAGCTCCTGTGAAAGGAGGGGACCAGACGAGCTCGGACGACCCGTCGCCCAGTTCGTCTGCAACCCTTCCAGCCGGTCGTAGTCGGGGTTTGCACCCCCCCCCCCCCCACACACACACCTGGCAAGTGCTGTTTTAAAAGCAACGGATACCTCTCAGGATTTGGAGATGTCGACAGAAGCTGACAATCTGTCCAATCCTGGGTTCGACCAGGACAGTATGGAGTGGAAAACGTCCTCCGGCAAACATAAAAAGAGTAAGAAGCCTGTAATCCCACCCAAATCATGATCCCAATGTCTTCCCCCTAGTTTGTGTTGACTATACAGTCTTGTTTATTTTACTAAATTTATTTTTCAGTTGCATTACACATACCTTTTATAGATGACAAAGTTACATTTTATGCAATGGAACTGTCACGGTATTTTAAGAAATACTGATGATGTCAATTATTTCACAGATGAGCTTCGGCTCATAGCTCTCGCCTTGCAAGAAAACTATCTTCACTCTAATTCTTTTCCCTCTTTTTATGACATCATCAAGTTTTTAGAAAGGATCGACCCTCTACTACCCCTTCTGGTGGTGTTACAGTGGTCGTGCAGAGTGGAGTTGCTTGATCTCAAGTTCCACTCTACACGCCACTGGAAGCTGATGCAGTATGTCTCCTTCTGTACCGCCTTGTAACGATGTTTCTTTATACTTACCACCTAACGTTCCTATAAACCTTCAAGAGCTGCAGGGACTTATAGGACAGCTCCCGCTACCTTTTTTTAAATTTTGGGTGATTTTAACGCTCATCATCCCTTGTGGGGTGGTACCCGTCACCACTTCCATGGTGGTGTAATTGAACGTCTTTTATTGCCTTCGGGGCTGTGCCTTCTTAACGGGAGAGAGCAAACTTTTTTTAGTGCGGCACACAATTCATTCAGATCCATTGATCTTTCTATTGCTCCACCTTCATTACTTCCTTGCTTCTCCTGGAAGGTTCTTCATAACCCTTTTGGAAGCGATCATTATCCAGTTGTTTTATAGAGTACCGTTACATTGCCTAATCTTTTAAAGCGGGTCCCTAGGTGGAAGTTAGACAAGGCCAGACTGGCCGCTTTTTATTCTTCACTTCACCTTAGATCCTTCGCTTTTTTCCTTCATGTCCCCTCAAAACGCTACACTTCATGTTACTGAGCAGATACTAAAGGCTACTCAGCAGTCCATTTCACAAACATCTGGTAATATAGCCAAAAAATGTAAACCTTGGTGGAATGAGGAGTGTGGCACAACCCGGGCGGACCAAAATAGGGCGTGGGGCAGATTTCGCAGATACCCGACTTCAAGCAACCTTGTTGAGTTCAAGCAGCGAAAAGCCAAGGCTCGTTGGACTAGGAAGCAGGCAAAGCAAAAGTCGTGGATGAAGTATTTTTTTCCTGTAACCAGCTTTGTCCCGGCCAAAGAGTCCTGGGATAGATACAGGAAAGTAAATAAGGATTATAGGTTCTTCGCGATTCCAACGTTTAATGCTCCTTCTTCGTCAATAAAAGATATTGGTAACATACTCGGGGAACATCTTTATGATTAATCTAGCTCGGCCAAAGACAGTCTTACCTACGGACAGTTAAAAGCTCGGTCGGAACGACAAAAGCTTGTCATATGTCAGGAGGAAATTAAGCATCTTATAAGCAATGAGATGGCTCTTAATGTAACAAAGCTCTCTGCCCCTGGTCCCGATGGAATTCATTATGAAATGCTTCGCCGCCTTTCTCCAGAATCCATTGAAAACCTTCTGTGTTTTCATCTTTTGTGGGAAAAGGCATGTTTCTTTTAGGCTTGGAAACATGCACATATCATCCCCCTTCTAAAGCCTAACAAAGACCCCTCACAATCATGAAGCTACCACCCAATTACACTGACAAGCTGCTTTGGGAAAATATATGAAAGGCTTATAAACAGGCGACTGTGGTACATGTTAGAAAGCCAGAGAGTCTTTGATAACAATCAATGTGGATTCCGCGAAGGTCGATTTACCCTTGACAACTTAGTTCGCCTGGAAACTGTGATACGTGAGGCATTTGTAAACAGGCAGCCCTGTGTTGAGGTTTTTTTCGACTTAGAAAGTGCATATGACACAGCGAGGAAGTATGGGATTCTCCGAAACCTGTATGCCTGCAATATCCGTGGCCGTATGCTGCAAAGCCTAAAAGAATACTGTAAAACCCTTTATTTTCGCGGCCCCTATTTTTCGCGAATCGGTCACAAATGACATAATCGCGACCAATAAATTTCGCGAATTCCAGACGCCTGCATTGAAAATCCTAAGGACCGAAATTTTCGCGCGCCCTTAAATTTCGCGAATTCTTCAATTCGTGAAATTCGCGAAAATTGAGGGCTCGCGAACATTAAGGGTTTTACAGTATCTGACGGAGAGGACCTTTCAAGTTCGTCTCGGCTCAGTCCTATCTGACTCCTTTGTTCAAGAAAACGCAGTCCCTCAAGTGTGACATTT